CACAGGCGCAGCTGCAGACCTTGCCCGGGGACGAGGGCCAGGAGGGGGCCCGGGCCCTGGTCTCCCAGGAGCCTCCCCAGTCTGCGCGCTCAGCGCTTCTTCGCTGGGAGCGCTATGGCGCGCATTTCCCGACGCCCAGAGAGAGATGGCGAGAAGGAAGGCGCCCAGGGCACAGGGACTTGTCCCCCCACCCCGTGTGCTCCCGCGCTGCACTCACCCACCCAGATGCCCAAGCTGACTGACAGCGCCAGGCGGGGCGTGCGGCGGTGCAGGGCGCGCAGCGGGAACACCGTCACGTACCAGCGGTCCACACTCATGGCGGTCAGAGTGGCACACGTAGCCTGTACCGAGACCTGGGAGGGCCGGGAGCTGGGCGTGGGCCCGCCCCCATCCCTCTCCCCGCCTGGTCTGGGGCCCGCCTTGTCTGTGTCCACACTGCGGCCCCCCCCCACACACAAATGTCCAAACACACAGGGCGTGTCCTGGGAGGGTCTTGGGGACACAAATTGAAGGGTCAGGAGAGGGGCGATACCAGAGAGCACCCCAGAATAGTGAGGGCTTGAGGGCGCCATTGGGGGCTTTCTAAGACCCAGAGACTGAGACAGGGAGAGGCAGAGCCATCCTAGGGACAGGTGGGGCAAGAACCCGCATCACCCTCCCGTGCTCATCTCCAACACCCAGTGCCTCTCTGTAGCCCTGCCCTACCCATTGCTGGGGTCCTCCGCCCCCCACCACTGGGTCTAGGCTACACCTCCTCCCAGCCTATCCACCAGCTGATTCACCCACAACCCCTTCCCCCTGTGCCCCATTCTCCCCCCTGCACCCACCTGCCCACACCCAGACCTGCCCCCTGGCTCCCCAGTCCCCTCTCCCAGCCCACAGCCCGCCTGCTGGATGTAGCTGACCTCGGGATTGCGCCCGCCACCTGGGTGTGCGCCCGGACTCAGCCACCACCTGTTCGTGTCCGGGACGACGCTTAACCAACCGAGCCACCCCGAGCGGGGCCCGACGTCCTCATTCCAGAGGTGGGTAAACTGAGGCATGCAGCCGGTGCTCCGGGGCTGCACTGTCATGAACGACAGGGGGGAGCTGGGGGAGGAAAAGGCCGTGGGTGCCCGGGGAGGGGAGCGAGTCATCATCCTTCCCTCCCCGTTACCCAGGCCTCGGTTTCCCCTTCCCCCGGGCTGGCGCCCCGCCACGCCCGCAGCCTGGGTTTGTGGCCGCCGAACCATCACCCCCCGCCCTCATTTTTTCAGTTTCCCCGTCGGTCTCCCTGGGGCTGGGTGCCCCCTCCCACCGC